AACCTGGCAGATTCACCACACGAAAACAAAAAATGTAGCACCGCACGTTTGTACTGATTACCTATATTCACCTTTTATGGATACTAAAATGCGTTCGATATTTACGAAAGTTGGTGATGAACTGAATAATATGTTAGTCAAACGATGACAAGTTTCAACAGGTTCAAAATTGGATTGTTTTAGTAAATGCATCATAGTGAATGTCACGCATACTCTTAATGCGCACGAACTTATGGACTGACCCGATAAAACCAAATGCCGTGAATTACTAAAAATAAATTTAAATAAGTGGAATTTTGAGTACCATTAAAAAACTTCGTAAGGCAATAAGAAATTAAAGGACATTACCAAGCAGGAATAGACGACATCAAACTGCACTTACTAGATTCCTTAATGGCGATCTGTTATCAGTGACTTTTGTCGGTGGTAATAAATACTTTGAAATATGCACTAAGTGTTCTACCGCACAGGCTTCTCCTGATCACATCTTATCTTGTCTAGGGTTTACCAGATAGGATCTCGTTCAAGACCCCTTTTTTTACTGGACTCTTTCAGTGTGAATGGGCTCTTGGACTTGACCTAGCTGTGCTGGTCATGGGGATGAGAAACAACAACAGAACATTTAAATTAACCAGAAAAGATGATTAAACATGACTGTTAATAGCTGTATTACAATTCTAAAGCTTTTACAAAAGCAAAAAACTTGATCTTACCAAACATTGACATATTATATACTGGTGTAATGTAAAGTTCATAAACTACCTCAATTCTTTTTCTCAACCAGTGTTGCCAAAATCAGAACGTAAAAATGGTCAATTGGATGTTAAAGGCCTTTTCGAATGCTTCACCTGATCCAGATAGCTCTCCTGTGCTTTGCCATATTCAAATAACCTCACGACCTCTACCAGCAAGTGTTCTCTAGAAATGGCCGTAATTTGTGTTACTGAGTTCTGGTAAATTTGTAGAGACATTAGGATTTTTTGGAAGCTTGAAAAATGAGTAACGCCTTCGCCGGGAATCGAACCATGGACCTCTGGAATACGCGCCCAGCCTGCAGACCACCACACTCAAAGCCATGCTAAGAAGGCGGGAGAAATACCTTATATACTCCCCCTTTTAAAGGGCGACTGGGGTTTTAGGGGAACCAGTCGCCAAATCCTGGGTGTGGATAATTATCATCCACCGCCCTTCTAGTTCGGGCAACCACTGTAGAGATATTAGGCTATTTTTTTTAAGAAGCAGGAGAAGTGAAAAATGAGCAATGCCTTCTCCGGGAATCGAATCACGGATCTCTGAAATAAGCGTCCAGCGTGCAGACCACCACACTACGAAGGCATGCTAAGAAGGCGGGCGAAATACCTTATAAATTCATCCCTGATTTTGATGAAACCCGAAAAAGAGCTGCCTTCGATACATATTTTAAAAATCATGTTTAATAAATATGAGTGTAATCCTTATTTTTCACGGCAAATGAGTCTCGCTGTGAGCAAAACGCTCATCTGCTTGTTTTAAATAAATCAACCAATTTATACTCATTAAATGTATTTAAGATAGCGATTTCTCTTCCTGGCAGTCAGGTTATTGTAAATTTTTTTTTTTTCTTTATACGTTTTGACGTAATACGGGCTAGCTTTCCTCAAAGTTTCCCACGAAGTCTCTTTGTTAAGCATACCTTTAATATACTTCGCATTAGTGTGATTCTTGCTTGATCTGTAAGGCATTTGTAAATCTTCTATTCCGTGCAATAGTGTGAATTCAGTGCATCCAAATAATTTAGTATACTGAACAGTGAAGGTAATCTTTATATAAATATATGTATATAAAATTCAGTGTCGTTAGGCTACTTAAATTAAAAATGGTTTTGTATGTTTTTTATTATTAAACCTAACGGACAATTAAGCACCACAATTCCTATAAGAATGATTTTTTACTTCGTCTTGGGTGTCATCTTTTAGAGTAATAAAGCATGAGAAAAATCTTGTTTGATAAGTCGCATTATTCTGCTAAAGAGCATCGGTTAATATCCCTAGTATTCGTAAAAGAAGATAATGGGAGAAGCGTTGTTTCCTTGTTTTGATGTAAATGTTTGAATAAATGATAAGTAAAAGACTTTAGTTTTAATGCTTCTGTTCCGCGAAGGGCTTTATTTTGCAGAATTTGTATTTTATTGAGATTTATTTTTGCTGCATGTTTCCAAAGAGGGAATGTTGCTTGTTTAAATAAAATAGTTTCGTTGTTTAATATTACCAGGGAGGGAGGGGGCAGAATTCTATGCAAGATATGTAATATGTGGCGTTAGAAGCCTCTTTAATTATAATAATACTGGAAATGCTCTTAAAACTTTGAGTTGAATGTATTATAAATGAAATGGATTTCAAATTCTGTCACATTATTAAGGATAGAAGGTTGCAAATTTTCATAGTTATTAATTGCGTATCTTATAAAATCGTATTTTACATTTTTAAAGTATTCTATATAATGAAAAATGGTTGCAGTTAAGAAGTGAGGGATTGCTTTTAAATCGCTCAATAAAGTAACCAAGAGAATTAAAATTTGAAAAGCATATCAAATATTTTATGTCGCATCGAATGGTGACAATTTGAGAACTAGTTTGCGACATGGCGCGAATGAAAAAGTTCTACAAAATAGCAATACTTATCCATGTTGCATATTTGACAAATACGTGGTAGCATAGCGTAACGTGACGTAAATTAATATAATGTAACGGTTAAAAAATTTTGTAAACACTTCGTTAAGGATGTTTTGGGATCGAAAAATTTGTTTTTTAGTCCAAAGGGGCTTTGTCCTTGAAGGACTATTGTTTTCGTTTTGCGATTTTACGTCGAATCACTCTGAATGTCCGTTTCACTTTTCAAACTGTTGCCACCAAATATTATCGTCTTGTATAATATTTGAAGAAATTAAACAATGAAGAATAGGCATAAATGCGTTTCTATTTCTCGCATTGTGATAAAACAACGGTACCTAGAGCCATCCAATTTTGAATGACGTAATCCTACTGCAAATATGGGCATCTGGAAGCCCAAATTTGAAATTTGTTTTATTATCGATTTCATATTTTGTAAAACTTTAACGAATTTTTGATTAACAAACTCAAGGATTTCAAAGCGAGCAATGGTAACGTTATACACAAAAAAACATTTTTATGTCCAGCGCGCGGAACTTTGTATCGGAATGTCAATCGTAAACTTGTTTCGCTTTTCATTCAAGTCTTGTCATTTGGCAAAATTTAATATATTTACCTTTAAAATCTAATATATTATTGACTAATAAGCCAAGCTATTTAAAAGCATTACACACAATTCTTAACAATGCTTTTTTTAATTTTTAATCTGATTGATTTAAAATGCATTTAATTCATGATATATCTAATTGAAAACATTTTAATATTTTTACATAATTACATGATATATTTCTTCATTTTTCAAATATATAGAAGATATATAACTTTCTGGTGTCAGTATCTTATAAAATGTTTTGCTATTTCCACTGCCCCATGTGTATTGATAATCTATGCATTCATAAACTTTTAGCCTCTTTGAGTGACTGCTAAAATCTGAGGCCTTTCAGATTTTTTTTTTTAATTGTGTGAGCAGAAAGATAGAATTTTAGAAGAGCTTCTTGAGTTACCTTTTGAATGATATAAAGAATTGTTAACATAATGTCAAATTTTTACAACTAAATATTAAATATATAAAAAAGCCTGCAGCATTCTCATGTTACGAAAACATATTTATTTGTTCTGAGGCTAGGAATTTAGTTTTAAAAATACAATTTATTTCTTTTAACAATTTCCCAACAGTGTCATCAAAACACTATAAATTCCTTACATGTTTTAAAGAAAGATGATTCATTTATGTAAAGATTACTAAATGGCTTATTTTATTATTCAATTTTTAATACAAATTAACTGAAATTAGAAACTGATTTTGTAAAATAATTTAATTATGAATAATTCAATTTGGGGTCTATTGGATGTTTAAAAATGATCAAAAGATTTTTAATATCTTAAAAATAAAAGATAGGCTCATTTTAAAATCATTTTGCGGCATTGCTATTGAACTGAATTTTATGGTTTAAGTTCGAAGAATATGATATGTAATAAATAAAGGTAACACACAAAATGTTAAAAAAAAAGGCCCCTTTGAACGTAATTTAAAATCTGAAACCGTTCAATTTTTTTTTTTCCTTGTTTGTTTAAAGAAAGTAAAAAGTATTTTGTTCTTTTTAACTCTATAATCTCTTCATTGAAATATGATATAAGCAAAAGAAAACAAAAACATCAAGGCTACTTCATTTACATAATTATTGCGTATTTGGCCTTTAGATAAAGAGAATCCAGACTTATCTTGGTTATAGACTATTCGGATGCGTTATGATTTCCAGATAGCCATTATATCTGGATCTTCACTGTAATAATTACGGTGTGTTTACTTTAGTCTTCTTTAACTAGCCAGAACTTCGGTGTTTTACCTTTGTACTGTATTAATGTACCTGGTGCTAAATTTCCTGCATCTATCGCAATTGTGAACTCGTATCAGTGCATGGGTTTGTGTATTCTTAGCAATTTGCTGTAAAAAAGTAAGCTTGCGTAACCAAAAGATTCTACGCTAGAGTCTACATTATTTATGATTGTAAAAGTAGTTATTTTCTTAAAGGATTTGTACACCCAAGAGCAAGATATAAAACGAAATATTTGACTGCCGTGGCAGTGCGTGCTAGACAAATGAACTGATAGCGACTGAGATTTTTAGCGTTTCTTTTGTTGCTTGTGGTAAAATATTTCTCTGTTAATCTTGCTTTATGGTAGATAATAATACAAAGATTTATATTATTTGACTTGGTTTCAACCGTGGAAGGCATGACTTTATCCGTATTTCATAATCTCTGTTTAATGGGTTCCTAATCTCTGTTTAGGAATCCTTGTTATTAACCCTGTTGTTTAGAACATTCTAAAAAAGCAACAGTTCGTTTGCCGTAGCTTTTAAGGCGTGTGCTAGAAAAAATTGCAGTAGAATTCTCTTAAGGTGATAAGTTTTTGAAACTCTTTAACTCTCTTCTTCCTCACGATCCGGGTACATCATTGGGAAGTCTTTACAGTTTTGCGAATGGATTCTATCAACTATCCTGAGTAAGTAAATCACCACTTTTGCGTTTGCTTAAAATTGTCCTAATAATAGACAAGTAGTTGCCAAACTTTTATGATTCCCATATCTCTAGGAAATGTTTCATTTTTAGCGCACTCTGCAAATGTAATTTTACCTCTGGCTGAACAGTAAAAGTCGCTGTGAACACTGGTAGTTCGACCAGGGTTTGATTCCAGGCGAATGGGCTGGTTGCATGAGAGTTTTCGTGATTCTCCCCATATGTAACATTAGTACAATCCATTTTCCTTCAAAGGTCCTCCACGAAAGCATCCCTACCTTTAAGCAGATAGCCATCGAGTGCTTTGCCATAAACAAACCAAACGTACCTTTTTAAATTATGTACAATTCCACACATTTTTCTCAGCCACTCTTTAAGGGACCCTGTGGAATTCCACACAATTTGCTCGGTTGAGATCGAGCGCTAGACTTTAAAAGTTTTGCAGAAATTTTTGGTGGCTTTATCTTCTGTGCATTTTTCAATTTATTAATTATTTAATAGGATGGGCGGATTGGAGAGTATTTCTGCTGGAAAAAATTATTCTGGGATTTGGCCTCAATTCCAGCTGTACTATTTTAAGGTTCTTTCAGATTATAGTTCATTTTTTACTATTTTTGCTTTTATGAATATATGAAACTGGGCAGTAATAAGAATAAAGAGTAATAAAATAAAGATTAAGAATTTTAATGTGAAATTTTTGAACACAAATCATTTTAGTTTTCGTTATAAATTTTAACAATGTCATTTAAATCTGAAAAAATATAAAAATGAAACCGAATTTTTTTTTTTTTCTGGATATAATTGTAGGCCTACCAGCGGCTGAACGGTTGATTCACATGCGATTTTCATGGCATCAAACACATGTCGCTCTTCTTTAGCATGGACAGTAATAGTGGGGGGGGGATGCCCCTTTTTGTAGTTTTGCTTCTGAAGTATTTTTTGAAATGTATTAGTTTCTTAAACATTTAATATCAGTCGTAAATATGTATTTTCTATGTTTCCCACTGGTTACCAAAAAAACGGAGTTCTTTAGAATTTTATTAGTAGTTTATTCATTTTATAAGATATTTCTCCCGCTTTCCTAGCGTGCCTTCGTGGTGTAGTGGTCAGCACACTTAGCCGATATTGCAGAGGTCCGTGGTTCGATTCCCGCCGAAGGCGTTTGCTATTTTTCATCTTGCCTGCTTTAAAAAAAAAAAAAAAAAAAAAAAAAAAAAAAAAAAAAAAACTAGTGTCTCTATAGTGGCGCCTGAATTAAAAGGATGTTGGATGAGGATTCTCCACACCCAGGATTTGGCGATTGGGTCCCCTAAAAACTCCAGTTGCCTTTTAAAAAGGGGAGTATTTCGTCCGCTTTCCTAGCGTGCCTTCGTGGTGTAGTGCTTCTACACGCTGGGCCGGTATTCCAGAGGTCCGTGGTTCGATTCTCGGCGAAGGCGGTTGCTAATTTTTCATCTCTCCGTTTTTTTTCCAATTAAACCTAATGTCTCTATAATTTCTTTGTAAAAATGTACGATACACTACAGAATGCTGTGGTAAAAATCCTACAAGTAAGACATCGGTTCGTCTTATGCATGTATCTGATGTCTTATTTGTAAAACATCGGGTACATGCATAATTTTGCGCTTTGGGTTTTCAGTTTCCAATTAAAATACTCATCAGCTATGTTATAAAAAGAAATTATTGTAAGTAATCAAATTTTAGAGAAATTAAATGAACTAAATTTTTATTTAAGTAGAAATGTAATCGTATATAATATCTGTGTTTTCACTCTTAGCTATAACTTTTACTAAATTTAGAGAACAGCATTTCCTAAAAAGCAACCTTGAATTCTAGCTACTACGAAGAACAGTTTTTGGGTTATTTCTATTTTTATAAAGCATTTTTTTCCCCAAATTGAGCTAGATTTATACTCCCAATCGTTCAAAAATTTTGTTTCATCATTTACTTTAGAGAAGCGGTAGATAATCTATGACACGTATATCAGTAGTGACACTCTTCGATCTTCAGAGTGACACGCCAGCTTTTACCATCACCTGATGCTCTCGTTTGAGCTGAGTACGGTTTTTCGTTCGTGTGAACAAAGAGTATGTTCAGTTTATTTTATTATTATTTTGTGCTAATCCAACTACTACACTGCTGTGTGAAGTAAGTGGTGTTAAAATTCGCATTAAGTAGGGAAATATTTACTTTCAAATGCAAATTTAGCCCTTTAAATTCAACAACAAAAGTTCACGAACTGGTGCTAGTAAAACCAAACCAAAAGCAATGGTTTTCGCATTTTTCCAGTTTGCTTCAAAATTACTATTGCTAGGGTAATTTGTTTCATACCGTACACTTTTGCGTTGAAAACGCACCACCCTGTTAAAGAACACGTGAAACTGAAGTTCTTAACGCCAAACAAAAGATCTCCGAACTTCTATTAAGTCGATCAATATGCATGTGTTTTCCTATATAAGTCGCTGGTTTTTAAACGCCTCGAAAGTATAGCATAATTTTCGGTTACGAAATAAGATTACGTTCTGGCAACGTAAAATTTATACGCACGACCATGCCTAAACGACCAATACGCAGAATTACCGAGTCGAGAAAAAAATGTTGAAGATTTGACACGTTCTTTATTTTCAGGAAAATCGAAAATCAGATTACAGACTGTCTTTCGCATTCATTTTCAGAAAATTATTTCTTTTTTGGCTTAGTGTTAAAAAATTTAAAGAAGTCTAAAAGTGATTTTTTTATTCTGCTCGGCATGTAAATGGAAGCAAACTTTCCTCACCCCCAAAAGAAAAATTGCTGCTGCTAGTATGAAATAATTTCATGCAATCTTCAGCTGTTTAACAAGTGAAGTCTCCATCTAATTTGATTGATTTGGTTATAATTTGCTAATTTAATATCCGATGAATTCATCTGATTTCGATTACAATATCAGCTTAGTAGTATCATACATTATCAGCTTAATAGATTTTTAGTGCTGATATCTTTCCAGTAATGGTACTGAGCAGTCTTTGCCATGTTTTTTAGGTACCTTTCTTTTCCTAATCAAAATTTAATTTATACTGAAAATATGCATTTCATTTTTATAAAGACGAATAGTTTTAGGAATAATGCATAATATAATTTGCATCACGTAGACCTCAGTCGCTTTAAAAAAATTTTATTCTTTTTTTCAGAAAAAAAAGTCGCGTGAAAAACGAAGAAAAAATTCCTTTAGGTAAAGTCGCTGAACACTGGTCATTCGCCCTGGGGCTCAAATCCCGGCGAACAGTCTGGCTGTATGGGCGCTTTCGTGTTTCCTCCTTGTATAGCATGTATACGATCCAATTTCCCTTAGTCCTCCCTCCCTTTAGGCAGGTAGCCCTCGAATGCTTTACCATAATTAAATAAACCAATAACCAAGCCAATCCTGCCATCATATAATTTTTTAAATATCATATGTAATTAATATCCAGGAGATTCCAGATATTAGTATAGTTTTGATAAACTAACTTATGCGTAAAATGTTTCCGAATGCCTCATTAAAATGCTGAAATTGTGAAGTCCCAATTCATTTTAAACGATAAAAATTCTACAAATTAAAATCATTGTTTACACTGATAGTTCTTATTTATAACCCTTTTTTCGAAAACTAGTAAGTTTTCAAGAAACTTGTGTCCTAGTGTCTTTCATTGCAATTAAAAGCGAACTTAAGACTTCAGATTTTGGCAAAACTTTAATTTATATATTCGTGTGCTTTGAATTTAAACTTTATATATTGATGTGTTTTGAACTTAGTTTATTCCTTTTTTGCATGCATCTGAATTGTGAACGACTGTCTAAATTTCTAATGAACTGAAATATTTCACCATTTTCTGTAATATTATCTGTTTAATTTTTTGTCTTCTGTTGAATTCGTTATATTTGTTTATATAGTCGTGGAACCACGAATTGATTAATTCAAATAATGGGAGCTTAACTAAGAGATTTTTCCTTTCTATTAAGATGAGATTGTCATGTCATGTCATCACTTCTTCACAAACTATAAATTAATCCACTTTCTTACTGGCCATGGAAATTTCAAAAGTTATTTGAACAGATTTAAGTTGAGCCCCGAGTCTGTCTGTGATTGTAGCCTCGGTGGCGAGGAGAATGTTGAACACGTGCTTCTTCTGTGTCCTAAATATGAGTGCGAAAGAAAAGACTTGAAACTGGGACTGAAAAATTTTAATATTAACTGGCCTCCAGAATTTTACCAGTTTATTTCCGAGAGAAGTGCTTTTAATACTTTTTTTGTCAATTCATTGTAAAACTTTGTAATCATCCTTAATTTTATTTCAGTTTTTTCTTATGTTTATTTTGTATTGTGTTTCATACTTACTTCTGTAAGCCCCATGTGATACTATGTGGTACACGGGGAATTTATAGTGTTTCTTTAATTAAAAAAAAAAAAAAAAAAAAAATACTATTCCGTTTTGAGGGCCGTAAAGAAAATAGCGGCGAAAATGTATGCGCTAAAGCGCCAAATCTAGCAAACGCGCCTATTTAACAGCGCGCCAAATCTAGCGTGCGCGCTGATTTCAGATTGCGTAAGTTTATATATAGTTCTATATTTCTTAAGACGCCATTGAAATACTAGTTTAAAAATTAAACTTAATTTTTATATACTAAATTAAACTTAATTTTTTAATACTTTGTTGATATCCTATGGAATTTGGGAATTGCCCATGATGAAAAGTCTGCGATAGAATTTTGGGTGAAGTGGCAGAATCCCCCACTGCTTGACGCGTTTTTAAGAATTGCACATACTCGGTATCCATGTGCACATCGACTTATTTTCGCTTAAAAAAATCCCAGAATTGCACAAAAATGGCACTGCGCACACCCTTGACTTTATCTATGTCGACACATCGACCTATTGTCACTTAAAAAGTAAAACAAAATTGACAAAAATCCAATAGGTTTTACCCTTGTAAAAAGCGGGAAACAAATAAGTTGGCGATTCTGCAATTTACCGAGAATGTTTTCAAAGAAAAGGCATCATTCGTTATAGAAAATTATGTTTGAACAACCAACGAGATGAAATTATGCTTTAGCGATAAGTCGGTAGCGAAATAGCGATGCAGGCATCCATTCAGTTATGTTTAGCAATTTTTACATACTAAATTATAATAATGATCTGAATAGTTATTTATTCTTATGCTTCCATTCAGTTATGTTTAGCCTTTTATATATAAATTATAATAATAAAAAAGTAATATGAAACTAACTTTTCATCTAAATTAAAACATCAATCTTAGATAGTTATTTACTTATTATACTTCCTTTCTTGCGTTAGGGTTGCCGCAATTATTTTTGGCAGCACTGGCATCAACAATAGTTTGGCGATTTTTTACGGCCCTCAAAAAAAGTTTTATCTTTAAAAAAATAACAAAATAGTAATAATTGTAATAAAAACATCCATTAGCCTATTTTAATGTAAACTGTATATAAAGTGTGTCGTTACAACGGAATAACATTAGACATTTATAGGAAATAAATGCTTAACAAAATATTTAAAATTCAAGTTATCTTTTTACGATATAAATTTCCTTAGTGATATTTATTTTCTGAAAATAAATGAGGAGTATAGGATTATAAAAAATTAACAGAAAAAATATTTAACAAACAAAAGAACATCTCGCTGCTCAGTATGAAATCTCATTTTCTAATAAAGTTCTGCGCGACCTACAAAACGATTCCGTCCATTTGTTTTTAATGTGAATGGTCAGGTTTGTATAAAACGGTCTTCGAAGAATATCAAGTTGCATATCTTGCTATTCCAATATGTTTATCATTCATCGCAGACGGTATAGTACTGCGCTAGTCTTGTAGGTCACGCCCTCATCTTATGAAAATACTAGTCTGGCATCCTGCAGCATTTTTCGATAGTAATTTGATTTTAAATTCGTGGCAATTTTTCCTTCGGTGACAAGGCCGCTAAACCCGTCCGCACGTCAGTTGCATTGCAATTAAGCGTGGTATCGGACATATAAAAGCGAACAGCGGGTTGTTTAGTTTCTTTTGGAAACCTTGCTTTTCTGTGTCTACGAGCGGTATTGCCAGTTTTATATTTCCGTGGAACAGCTTTAAGGATATTAAATTTTAGACGATGTAAGTATTTGTAAGTTTTATGTTGCAATGTATGCTTAAATTAAGTTTAGATGATTTTTATTAATTCCAATTTTTTTGTTTTAATTATTCGCTTTAGAATGTTCAGTTATTCTTGATAGTTACTTGAATTATAAATTTATTGGTTTAGTTTTCAGTTTCAGACTAACAACTGTGACTTTTCCGATTGATTCGCGTTAGCAATAACGAAATAACCCAATGTTTTCATTTTCAGTTACGCGTATATATGCTTCTTGAATTATTTATCAATATGTCATGGATATTTGCATGTGTATCTTTTAAAAATAAAAATAAAATAGAGTTCAACTGCAAATGCAACTTATCTGGAACTGTTAAAGAATTTATAAAAAAAATTATGGTCTTTAAATTTTAAATATTTATGGTTCAAAATAATTGTGATAACAATAGATTTAATTATTGATTATTATTTTCAACTATATAATTTTCACACGTTATGCAAAAAGCAATTCTTGATGTTTATTAACTTGCATAGTGAGAAATGTATGATGGTACGATGTTTTCATGTACAGGAATTTGAAGGAAACCTGATATTTGATAAACTTCTTTTAAAAAAAGGACATTTTAAAATTCTCTATAGAGTATGTTAATTAAATCTTCAAAATTAAAAATACATATATTAAGAGGTACATAGCAAGAGCCAAAATATGAATTCGTGTAAAGAAAAGTAAAATCTTTTAAATTTATTCCCGGGAAAATTATGTTTGCAATTCAAAGTCAAGCTGGCTACTGGACGAGTAACTAAAAACTCGAAACACTTGTCCCAAGTTCTATTCTCGGGTTGAGTGAGCTGGCTTTATGAGGCTTTCATTTTCCTTTTATGGATTAGTTGTTTACTGCTCATCGACAAATCCGTAACGGCATTACGATAATCAAATAATCCAATCTAATTAAAAAAATTAAATGTATTGTATAATATTTAATTACTTTTTAATGTATTTTCGAAGTATTGCTCGCAATAACAGAAAGGATCCCATGGCACGTATTCAAAATTTGAGTACAGAGAGCAACAGATTTCCTTTCTGCATATTTACATATTATTGCACGTCTTTAAATTAAACATTTATATTTTTGCGACGTCTTTGCTTTAAAATTAATAGCTTTATTTTATACTGTTAGCATGCACTTAATAGGATCTTAAGATAAATTGCAATAATTAAAAAAACTTTAAAGTTAGATATTTAAAAATATGGGCATTACTAAAAATATGAAAATTTATCTTTTTCTGTGAAGAGTGAGTTTGCTTAAGAAAAGATAACTGACTTTCGTTTTTGATGACAGCAGAAATTTATGTTTTTATAATAATATGCAAACATGCTTATCTCAGTGAAAAGAGATAGCACAAACTACGTTTTTCGCGTCGTATAAACCCACGAGGGCAGAACTTAAGAGAAAAAACTATTATTGGAAATTTTAATGGGAGACATACAATGCTTCTTACGAGTTAGATGGAGGAATAAACGGGAAAAATATAATCAGTGATTGGCTTGGAATAGAAAACAAATTTAACGTCATATGATGCAAAATTTATTACAACCAGTTTCTTCATAAACGGACTTAGATTTATGTAAGACATCATGTTAACTTGGATATAATCTCCATGGATCATGAATATAAGACAGAATAATGTATTAATGTATTAAACTTCATAGGCAGAATTTCTAAGCAAACATAAAGGAATTGGTAATTCAGAAGACAAACAACGTTTTTCGTTGTCTTTATTATAAAGGAATTGGCTTTAAATTATTAATTATATTTAATTATATTTATAATTTTACTTTGTAATTTACTCGATACTAAATTTTTTACGTATTTCTGTTAATATAGATATTTAAAATTCTTTGAACCATTTTTCTTATTAGATCGCAAATCGGAGCAGAAGTATTGAGTACTGTTCAAAAATTACTTTGAATGTTAGTTTCCTGTGTAATTGTTGGTATTAAAAAAATGCGGAGAAGCAAATCTAACTGAATTCAAACCACTAAGCTTGAACCGCACAGTGAAATTTTTTTAAAGACGAAGGTCAAAACACGTTTTTTCAGAATTTTCTTTCACAACTCAAGTTGGTAACTGTTTTACTTTAGGATTCATTATTATTGCAGTTTCTTCGTTGCAAAATTTTCAACAGTTATAATATTAAACTACCATCATCTATTCTATGCAAACCATTTTCTTGCAGAATTTTATGAACGAATTGGTTTTCTGATATTATTTTATTTGTATTTCCAGGACATCTTGCAGGAAAATGCCTTCCGCCGACGTAGAAGATCTCCGTAAACAGCTGGCTACGTATGGTCAAGATCACCTCTTGAAATTTTGGTCACGTCTAAGTGGTGATCAGAAAGCTCACTTAGTTGCCGACATCCAAGCTGTAGATTTCTCAGACCTGACAAATGCTTTTAAGGAAACGGTAGCAAATCGCGAGAACAATAACCAAAAAATAGACTTGTTGCTAGAACCTATACCTGAGGAACTACACGAAGGTGTATCGCGATGTACTCCGGAGCAGCTGCAAGCTTATCGCGATACTGGTAAGTAATAATTGCTCTTTAAGATTTGACATGAGATACAATGCATGTAAAATATTCATTCCTCTTGGCGTTATTTGAGCTATTTCTATTTATATTCGGACACCACAAATCTGAATTACAATGGTTCTATGTAATTTAACCCTTTGCGGCACAGCGTGTCCACTCTGGACACACCTAAAAATTTTCTTCTGTACACACAGAAAAACTGAATGAGAAAGGATTTGTAGGTTACTATAGTAATTCAGAAGTCAAACAACAAAAATCAGCGTTATACCTACAAAATTTTCAGACTGTGAAAATTTTGTAGGTATAACGCTGATTTTTGTTGTTTGACTTCTGAATTAGTATTTATTCGGCGTGTTATTGTGTCTTAGGTTACTATAGGTTACTCTGAACCTTCTTTATTTATCGTAGATGGCAGCTCAACACAAACCAGTCCATATATATTTTAGCCATGTTTAGTTTTTAAGACCCTCATTTTTCAAAGAAATCTTCCAGATTTTTTAGGGTATAAAAGGAATTGTTTGAAAAGAAATTCCTATGTTATTTTTTGGCTGTATGCTAATCTCCTTATTCTATATTAGTTTTAAATTTTTACCTTGAAATCTTGCTTAAAATCAAACGTCGAACCCCAGGTTTGCCCAGACCGGGCTCACCGATCATCTAGGACAACTGAGAGTCTCCGCATCTCATCGGTCAGTTCATTGACAACAATGCTCATTTCAGCACTCTTTTCGAAGCTTTATTCAGTCAGTGTGCCACTTTGGGCACACCCACAGAATTAAAACGATAAGTGCTATCTTCACAAAATTTTACTTGTGTGCTCCTCTAGGCCTAATTAGACTGCCTACTTTATATATATATATGTATATGTTACCGTGAAAGACCGAAATTGGAGAATGTCGACTTTCACCGTAGAATGTCAACATTCACCAAATACGTCAGTGAAAGATCGAATATTGCATTGCATTCTTATACATTTGGACCCTCACCGGTGTATGTCGACAATCACAGATATGCTCTGGTGTAGGTTGAAAAGATAGGAGTGTATGTATACGCTGTCATTGCAAAAGGAAGTGTTCCACAAATGCAGTTGTAAAAGCAAGGGCCTTTTGTGCAATTCAAAGTGTAATAATAGTTAATTTGTTGCAATAAATAAGATTTGAATCACGTAATTTAGTAAGTTTTTCACTTCTATTATTTTCCTTTCTCATTTTGAATGTACAGTGTGTTTTAAGTTCTTATATTCTTAAGTTCTTGTTTTAAGTCTCAAGTGCGTTTTTTCGCGACCGAATTACGGAGAAGAAAAAGCAATATTCTTATGCGTTCAAAATTCTTCATTAGTACATGGTGAACAGAGTCGTAGCTAGGGCTTTCAGCGCCCAGGCACAACTGAAGATTTCGCGCCCCCTACTGCTTGCGAAGGATGGAAAACATTTAATTCTAAAATGTCGTAACATCAGTTTGGCGGCCCTTGGATTCTGCGCCCGGGGACAGATGCCCCCCTTGCCCCCTCTAGCTACGCCCCTGATGGTGAATGTCGACATTTACCGGTGTAAGTCAGAAATAAGAGTATTTGGAAAATATTTCGGACATACACCAAGCGACTATGTGAATGTTGACATTCACCGGTGAAAGTTGACATTCTCCAGATGTCGGTGTTTCACCGTAACATATATGTATCAAAATCCGACTTTAAAAGGTAGTGTGCCGGAAAGGGTTAAGCAATCTGGCATGTATAAAGAACTGTTAAATGCTTATAATTCCATTCCGAGTTTGACTATTGGCGAAAAAGGACAAGTTACACTTCGAGCACCGTATAGTACTGTAAGCATATAGCTTGATTTTGGGCACTAGCAAAAATATCCGTTATTAACCGCTACACAAATTTAGTATATATGAAGTACAAAACTGAAAATCTTAAAAGTGGATCATTGTTATTTGTGTTGCATCTTAAAGGTAGGTTGGGAGCTGAATATTGCACTTATTTTCCGCGGCGATGTTTCGTTAGTGCTATGATTTTATGCAAATTCTTCGAATTAATTTTTTTGTGGAAATTAATAATGAATAGTAACCTGCGTTTACTAGTTAAACTGGAAGTTGAGAGTGTGATTATCTTGTGCAACACCCACAATCCGATATTATGGAAGTGATCTGTTTGCATTCTAAATAGCCGCTGATTCACTTTTCTTGTTTAATATATTCATTTGATGAAAGAAACACTAGTATGAATGTATGACAGCAGTTTTATAGACTGCTATTGGAATGAATTCTCTAATATAAAGTTTCAGCATAACGCCATAAAAAGAAGGCTATAGAGAGTTCGGAAGGAAAGTTTTACTAAAGAGTGTTTAGAGCTTGTAGATGATCTTTTTACTGTAATATGTAGAGTCCGTGGCTGTACCTCTGATTTCCACGTGAGGAGGGGCGCAAAAATGCGTAAATCCTCTTGCTTGTGAATGTTGTGTGTTGTCAAAGAACACTGATTTGAGATATGAAATGCATCCATTTAGAATGAGTCCTGCATAGACCCTTGCTTTTCAGTTTCTCTGTGGCGTGGTTCTCCCAGTGTGTAATATAAAAGCAAGCCAGTTTCTCTTAGAAAGTCTCCACAAAGGTATTCCTTCCTTTAGGCAAATAACCTTCCCGTGGTTTACTTGGTCGGATTGAGGAACTAACCTGTTTCTGGAGTATTCTTGATGACATTTAGTACTTAGGATTTAAATATTTCGAATTTTCTGCGTGACCGAGAAACGTTGGAAGAAGCCAAGCTGTTTTGCTACATTCTAGTTTATTTGCTTTGTAAGCTCGATTTTAAAACTGCAATTTTGGATTTATAAAAGTTATTGCAATTAATTAAAAATGCAGTTTTTTGATAAAATGTTAAGTGTTTGTCGGAGTTGAATCACACTAATTTTGCCCAACTGGTGTAACTGGATGGTACAGATTATCCAACTTCGAGAATAAATAATTGCGTAATAATCAAATTATCTAAGCTTACCTGATAGAGGTTAGCAGCCTTTATTATATTATATCGTAGAATCATAAAATTTTTTTTATTGTTTCTTGTTCAACGTGGCCAGATGAAAACTTTTCTTATTGCTGCAAATAGGCTTATTAAGCTGAGTATGAATCGGTGGTTATAAACGTTCTCAGTGAAACAGTACTTAAAAGGCCATAAAGAGATCGGAAATCGGTCTTTTTAAGATGAAATATTTTGATGCTTATTTTTGTGTTATCGTATCTTTCAGAAGTTAATTTCTAAACTGAGTATTGTTTTCACATAAGATGAATTTCCGATTGATGTATCTCGCTACGAAACTCAATAATAAATTAATATATTATTATTTAATATAAAGAACTAAATAAAATGGTCATTTGGAAAGATTATATGAAAACCTTGTTAAAACTGAGAAAATTGTTGAAATACTTACAAATTGTTGAAATACTTGTTTGATATTCAAAATTATTTTTTTAAAATGAGAAAAATTTGATTATTTCAAAAAATGATAAAAACAGCATATTAAATTGATGTCTTAATGAGAATATTGGTACTTGCGGGAAAATCCCGACGACCATTTGTGCCTATTAAAGAACAGACGCCAAACTACGCGATTTTTCGCCAAAAATGGAAAAGTCTTCTTCAAACACGCTGAGTTTGGTGTAAATTTGATTTACACGTTTTAATTATTATTATTTTTGAGTCAAGACTCCTTTTTTTTCCCCTGTATCACGCATTTTCGAAAAAGAATGATTAAAATTTGGAACCTGCCTACTACAGAAGAGCTTGATGTTGAATATTTCCAAAGTTATAGAATCTTACTGGCGATTAAATTAAAACCTAGCGAAAATAATTGCTTTTATAGTATATCTCCTTAATAAAAAATAATGGAAATTTTTAATGAAAAATTAAGTATAAATAAATGATAATATAATAAATTTGAAAGAAAAATAAGAATAGATCGTTTCTTCTTGTATTTAGTAAATGGGCTTTTTTGGTTTGGCGCGATTGGCGCCGTCTCTTGTTATCGACGGGATTTTCCGTAAATATCAAAATGATTTTTTTTTATTATTATTACAACGATTTTTGTTCACTATTACAACACCTTTTATTCCTTTCACTAGCCTTTGAATATTTAATTGCATTAAGAACAATATAGGGTACTTTTCCGTTTTGCCGGCGCAGGCGATAGATTCGCCAATAATGGTACAATGCCAAACGGAATATCTTCCGATGCCAAACGGAATATCTTCGTTGGTAGACTTTTGCGCCTCATTTTCAAAACAAGTCGCAGCCATTTCTTATCAGATTGATTTTTTTTTTTTTTTTCAATACTGGCGTACAATTACATAGAATTTTTACAAGAAAGTTCAATTTTATGCCCTAAGGCCATTCGCGGGCGGTTATCAAGTCAATTAGGATGCAATCACACCGCTCACCCGATGACGAAAATATAGAAAAGACAAAGTCAAGGGTTAAATACATCAATTCCAATGAGAATGCACTAGCAAAGTAAAGCACTGCGGTTTTACATAATTTCTGAGTAAGCTATTCGTACGAATTGAAGTAATTCTTGCATTTAAATTTGTGTTCCAAATTAAGATTTAACTTGAAATTAATATAGATAATTACTGAGAGAATTAGATTTTCGTAGCGTAATTTACGTTAGATGAGATTACTTAAGGTTACGTGATATGAACCGGCGAATCAGGATGTTGTACCGCGAAAGCATAGTATATTCTTAATGTCTCTTTACAAATTTATTGTCTTTATTTATTGGCTTTTTTACAAAATTTTAAACGACATTAAAATGTTTATACCTTCATTATAAAAAATTCTTAGAATTAACATTTGTCAACATTTTTTTATGTGTATTTTCGTCAATAAAGTCTGCTTGAAGAGACATAGTTTGGACATGCATATTGGTAATTAAAATCACATGCTGTTTCAAGCGTATAGTTAACGTGGGCTTCTAATACCATGGTAGCTAGATAATTAC